GCAACTCTGGTGCGCAGTCTCCCTAAGGCTGGGGCTAGTGACCAGAATGTACAATGCGCATTGGACTCCTTCGTAAGTGCATATTAACCACTGGCGTGTACGCTCCATTCTGCTCGTCTTTACTATTAGCCACTAGCGGGATATACAGTATTACGCTCGCTTCGTAGACTCCGAGTCGTTGGCTGACAGCTGACGCAGGTGTTTTTTTCTCGTTGCATGGTAACGCGTGGTCTTCATAAGATGGTCCAGAGCCGTTCGGTATGAAGGTAGACGATTTGCAGTGCGGCTTCCGTGTATCTCGCGCTGAACGTCTGGCTTTACTCCATGCTGCTACCGTGACTATAAAAGAGCGCGCACAACTACGCACCATACACACTAGACTCAAAGGCAAAAACTTAGAACTTTTCAAAAACGAGGTCGCTAGCATGGAACAGACGAGCTCTCCCGCCCCCAGCTCCTATCTGGAGATTGGGTACCTGTCAGAGCCCGAGAGGCTATGGCTAGCGGAAGCATACCGCGAACACTTCAGCGAGGACCCTGCCGCACATCGGAGTCTTGACACGTTACGTAATCTATACTCGAAGGCCAAGTTCGAGAGCATGAAGTTGGGAAAAGAGATATGCAGCCCCTCGGTGCGTAGTCTGCTCCTGCATAGTATACGAAAGCCCTTGCTGACGGTCCACAGCAATCCGTGGACGCTGTTAGCGAGTGTTTCGGTGCTACTAGACGCTTTGAATTGAGCAACTCAAGCAACATGTTCTTCGAAGACGACTACCCTCAGCCAACCTTCGCCCTTCAAGAGTGCTCGAGTGCAACTGCCATCTAGCAGACTCTCTTACTTCGGAGAAATGTCCCGGTTAGCGTCGAAATAAGATGCGCTTGGACTGGAAAATCCTCTTGCGTGGACGAAGAAGAGCCTGATAGAACGAAGGAGATCGCTACCCAGGCCATCGACTACGCACGACCCCAGCTCACATCTCGCCCCTTTGAGTTCTTCTCAATTTATCTCCTCATCTGTGGGTCAGTCATCTCTATCTCCGTGCTCGACCGCAGCGGCGCCGTTCATAGTTCTGAGATGAAGGTCTGAGACGGAGACGGCTGGACAGAGGAGTTCATTAGGGTTGCGCGGCGCCTGCTGCTTGACCTCTCATCGGCCGAGCTTGGACAGGGACCATTCGTGGAGCTCGTCTCTGGCGACGAGGAAGACCCCGGGGCGGCGGGTTCTTGTCCTTAATCGTTCGCGCTTAGGAGCGGCTTGCAGTCCTCCAGTCAAGGTTCGCGGATTACGATTGGCAGTCCAATCTGGCCTACTTTCGATTTCGCCGGCCGCGGGAATCCGGCGTAGAACGCACTTCAACCCTCTGATTCCCGCTCGCGCCACGTTACTCATCTTCTCCGGATTGACCAGCGCGACCTACAAAGGAGGTCAAAGCCCGCGAATTACTAGTATTTGAAGGACGAGCGGTTTGCTGGTGCACCTGGGATCACCGAATGTTTGGCTGAAGAAGACGTTAAGGCTGTCGACAAGAACGGTGATGCTGCTAGTTCGTCCGACAACGCTCTTCTGCCGGTAGATTTTCTGCTGGAGCGAAAACGGCGCTTCACAAAGTGATGCTTGCCTCTGTTGAAAAACCTCTCTGGGAGTATGATTCCCCGGGCCATTTCGTTCGTGCTCCCGCTGCTATTGTGAAAGGTAAGAGTCAGCTCCCGTCTGAGGTTTAAAGGCCAGCTGCCTATTGCTTCGTAGGTATCTCGTTCCTTGAACAGCACGGTATCTGCCATCGATTATTGAGTCCAGGGAACGTTCTCCTTTTTGCATGTCTGCGCGAGGGTTGCGAGGCATTCTTTTTTGATTTTGAATTCGCGAGCACCAAGGAATGGGGAGTCGAAGGACATCCGGAGTTTTCTGTTAGGCACGGAACGCAGATGCAGGCGCGCGTCAGCTGTCAGCGACTCCGCGCCTCTTTGACGCAAATATCTGACCTTATACTGCGTCGGGGGTCCTTTCAATTTATGGCCACAGACATGCTGTCGAATGCGATCTTGCAGAATTCTGGATGCTTGACGCCCGGTACTCCCATTGCGCACGCCACGAAGCACGACTTGGAATTCCCGGTATGGATCGCGGAGTATACTCTCTATCATCATGCCTGGGATAAATTCAAGCATCTCGGAATAATCGACCCTAGCTACAGGGCCGTTCGCAATGCGTTCGAGGCAGACTTCGGTCTGCTACGCGCATCAGCCATACAGACCCGCCGGACGACAGTCTATACTCATAAACTCGGAGACGAGCACCTCAAGTGCATAACCGAGGACTTTATGGATGAAGGGCTTAGAGACATTTTGGCTGGGATGCTCACGATAGTGCAGGCGCAAAACCCAGGATCCGCAACGGACCCTGCCGCGACGAACATCAGGTTTTGGGAGATGCCAGGACATGGCAGGCAGGCGGGTGACGCCAAAGATACGACCTGTAATGGTTTGCAGAGATCACTAGAAATATATCTGGAGCTCAAGTGCCTTTAATATGTTGTCTCAGGGGAATATTCTTGGAAATGTTAGCCCAAAATTGGCTCGGAAGGAGCCTTAGCTTATGAGTCAGATTATCAACAGGACAATCTGGTGCAAAAATGCAGCATTCTTACCTCAATTTCCCCCATTGTATTTCGAAGAGCAACAAACCAGTCGTCGAAGCTACCTACCTCGAGTCGCTCAAAGCCAGGGTGCTTTGCAGAGGCCGCTCTCGGAACATGCCGAACGCCACAAAGCTTTGACCCAAACAAGCAAAGTGGGAAACGGATGTTGGTTTTCGCCTCCATTTGCCCATACCGACCGCCCGGCTTGGCGCTTGTTCCTCTCCATGTTACGGTCTCGGTCTCAGAGGCAAAGCACCCTTGGGGCCTTTCCTTCGGACGATTCTCTTTCCTCGTTGTCCCAGCGCGAAAACACGCCAATCATTGTCACCCCTGCAACACCACTAGCGCCGTCAAGATCGCCCAGTCCTCGTCGGATTACGCTGCGTCGACCGATCAGACAGAATGAATCAGAGGTTGTGCAGCGATCTGTTTGCTTGTGGGTTACTTGGATGCTCTTTAGCCTCTGCATCTTGTGTTTTCTGTACTTTGTCAAGGCGACACACTGGGAAGCTGCCGGCACCTCTATCCAGCACACTCCGCCAGTCTCGAAACTCTTTGGGGAACTAAAGAACAAGATATCATCCGCGAAATTTGGTGCTAGTCATCTTGGGACTGGCAGTAAGTCGCCGGCACACTTGGAAGTGAAACAGGAAACTCTTGGTTTGGCTACCTCTACTCGCACGTCGCACTGGCCGCCGATGATCACCGTTGTCCCTGAAGCTCCACCTTCGCCCGAGGCAATGCGTATTGGTCTCACGTCTACCGCTGTCGACACTCAGTTCTGCCAAGGCCAAGATAGATGTCGCATACTGCTGCCCCTGTGGATCGGCGAGCAAGAGTCGCGGGGGCGCATGCACCTGACGCAGCTAGTACACCTTGCATCCGCGCTGAACAGGACGCTTGTGCTGCCCAACGTTGGCAAGAGCCGACTCGGACTCTGCGGCAAGTGGTCTTTCGAGGCGTACTACGACACTGGCAGCATCGCGCGGCAGATGAAGGATGTCACAGGCGGCGCTGGACGCGTCATGCTCATGGACGACTTTAAGACGTGGCTCGACATGCGTCCGGAGGCCCCGCACGGCCAGCTGCTATTCTTCCAAGAGAACTTCACGTCAGAGGCACAGGGCGCATTCGCGGACAGCGAGGAAGGGCTCTCTCTATTCGCCGACGAGCATGTCCTACACGCGGGCGATGCTAGGCTGAAGAATGCATATTGCTTAAAGACAAAGTTCCGAGGACTCAAGCTCGACGGACACTACCCGCTTTCGCTGTACATGACACCGCCCGATCCACTCGTGACCGGTCCCCCGGACGTCCCCTCAGGCGAGCACTTCGTCAACATGCTTGAGCGGCACGAAGCCACGCGCGTCTCTTCCGGCGCCGGCACACTGCCCGGCATCCAAGACCCTCTCTCGTCCGAACACCAAGCATCCCCCCCGCCCGACGTCCTCGTCGTGCACTGGGACCTGCGCCACCTACCCTTCGCGTCGCCGCCGGCCCTGCCCCCGCTCGAGTACTCCGCCGCGCTCTGGGCGCACGCGCGCCGGCTGTTGGCGCCGCATGAGCCGTACGCAGCTGTGCACTGGCGCATGGAGACCGTCGACCCGGGCGCGCTTCCCGACTGCGCGGACGCGCTCGTCGACACGCTGAGCACGCTCCTCGCGGACCCCGCGCTCGCTGCGGGCGTCAAGACCATCTGGCTCGCGACGGACGTGCCCTGGGTCGCAGACCCCGCCGCCGCCGCACCCGTGCACAGCCCCGAGCAGCGCTCGAACACGTTCAGGTCGTTCGAGAAGGAACACTTCGAGGCGATCGAGATCGTGAAGGCGGCGTTCGCGGCCGATGGCCCGCTGGAGGGGTGGAACTTGACAGGCCTGGGCGAGGAGATCCAGCGCTACAGGGCGACAAGCACGGGCGAAGAGTTGGAGCTAGCGTACGAGGATGACACTGGATTATTGTGGGAAGACTCTGGAATCTGGGGAATCTTGGACAAGATGGCGGCAATGCAATCAACGCTGTTCGTCAGTGGCGCGAGGGGATGTGGCAGAGTCAGGTGTGTCCACTTATTCTTGCGCTTTGCAGCAGATCATAACCTAGCGAGACAGTTCTTTCACAAGGCAGATAGTCGACTACAGAGCGGAAAATCGTGGCAGCGACGCACCCAGGAATGTAGTAGAGCTTTTCGGATGAATGTCATATTTCTCCTACCGCGTCCGAGATAGCCATAGCATAAGCAGGGCATGGGAAAGCTCATACTACAATTTTGCGACAAAAGACAAGGAGGAAATGGATGTAGAAAGCCACCCGCCAGCATAGTGAAGAGGGTCGCCGAGACGACCCCTCCGGCATCCCCACGCCGCCCCTGTAGCGTGAGGAATACGGCGATGAGCTGCTGTCACACACGACCCTACTCCCGAGGAGCACCCCTGCCGACACCGGCAAATTGTGGCCGGAACTCGCTGGGAGCACCACCCTCCTTCTTCCTGTACTCGTCGCGGTCGGGACGGGGGGCACGGTAGGCACCCTCGCCACCAGGGCGGAGACCAGCGGGGCGGGGAGGACGAGCCGCCTTCTTGTGTGTGGCGGGAACGATCTCGGCGGGCAGGTGAAGCCTGTGCTCGTAGGTTACAAGATGCTAGTTCTCCATACGGTGATAGCACGCACCACTCGCGGAGGTACTCAACACCCTCGGGGGTGAGGACGTAGTAGTAATACTGCCACGAGAACTGGGTCTTCACAAGGCCCTTAGAAGTAAGGCTTTGCATGGCCTTGATGACCTCCAGGTTGGGGACATCTAGGTCTTCATGCTTCGGCGCGTTGTAGTCCTTCTTGGCGACCAAGACACCCTCTGCAGATTTTGTTAGCCAAAGCTTCTTTCTGTAATACGTCCAATACTCGCACCCTTGAAGAGGTTCTCGTAGATGGTGCGCCTGTTCTGCTTGGTAATGATCATGCTGGGCGGGTCGAGTACGGAGGTCGGTAGCTTCGTTGGTTCAGTACAGACTGTCGCATTCAGCAGACAATCTGAAACTCACTGCGACAAAATGCTCGCACTAATCCGGCTGCAGCGACACGGATATAGTCAGCATGAGATCTCTCTAGCCTGCATACTGGGGACCCGTTATCTATCGTAAATCGTCCCCATCCACCCCGCCAAAGTCCACCAGCCCGCACAAAATCACTACCAGCAGCATCCAACGGATCCATAGAAGCGACTGGCGGCACTTACGTAGCGTCGAGGGGCGAGGGGTCGTGCGGAGAGGTCTTGACGTCGAGCTGAATGAGAGCTTCGTTGATCCAGGGCGTCTATTCGTCGGCGTATAGACCTGAAATGGAAATTCTCCACCCACGTGGTTCTCGGCCGTGGCGAAGCGCCACTGCCACTGCCAGCCTTCGCGTTCCTCAAACCGCGTTCAATACGGTGTGCATTGGACGATTTCACAGGTCTGCCAGCCCCAGACTATAGCATAGTAGGGCCGGTAATCAGCAGCAGTATAGCTTCAAACACTCCAACGGCAGCCGCTCAAGGTATTCGCATGCCATGGGTTGCAACATCCTTATTGGTGAACGTCACGTCTTGCCCGACCAGGAAATCCGCGATACCAGGTGTACCGGTGAGCTGCTTCTCTTTCAGGTATTTGTAAATTTTGGCCTCTAGCCTGCGATCATCGGGATGCCAAGCGCTCTTCATGATGTACTCCGCACCTACAGCACCAGCCGTGGCTCGCTCAACCTTCCGAACGACAGCCCCGCGACTCGGAAGGGAGTAGGATGTCCCGGTAGAGTGGCCGGTTGTCATCAAAGAATTCTCACCAGCAGCAGGCTGCCAATCGCCGTCGAGCGTTGAAAGGGAAAAACAAGGAATGTTGCTCTCCGAAGCATTGCGGCTCTCGGCCAATTTCTATATCTGTAAGGTCATGTAGGAGCCTCCGGACGACGACGAAGTCGTCTGCGGGTCCCCATTCATCTCATACTACTGTCTGGGGGCTGTGTACGATACCGCCGCGATCGCAGACGGAGACGTGGAATAATGATCCATAATTGAGCAAGGCGATGGAGAGGAGTTGGGACGGGCGACGGGAAAGGTGAACTTGAGTGTAGTCCCCGGCCTGGGCGATGGTGTTCTTAAGTCTGCGAGGATGGTCGCTGTTACGCTGAAGGGGGGTCTCGATCCGTGAGCACTTGTTCTCTAAGCATGCGAGAATAGCCCTCCATATAACGCCAGCCGATTCTAGATGTCAGCGGCCAGCTCTAGTCGCTCGCAGAGGACGAAATACAGTTTCAGAAGGCTGAAGTTTGGAAAGCTATCATCGAGGGTTTCCGAGGCCGCGTGATAGGTACTGATTCAGATAGCAAGAGAGCAAGATCAACGCACATTAGGCGAGTACATTTCTCTTTATCTTCTTCTACACATTGTCTCACACATGCGCCTCCCGCAGAGTGTTCAGCGCCTCTTCGACGACTTAGGATTCCAGGAGGTGCTGGCGACACCGATCCGTCCAATCTTTGTCAGCAGTGGAAAGCGATCCAATACGTAAATAGTGGCTGAGAATTGCATTGCTGATGTTCCTGTTTTCCCCGAGCTCAGTCTGCAGAACCCCATGGTTCTCATTTAGTGAGCTGGCCGTGAAATCGATCACGTTTCCTTGCGACTTCAGGGTAGGAGGACTATCAGGGAATATACTGAACATGTGATTAAACGGTAAGTATATGGTTTTGAGACGAATAAAGCGTGGTGGGGGAGACTGACTTCCGTATACGAGGACTGCGAGCTATCTTTTGAAAGCCGCGTTTTCGCGCGATACACCCCTGCTGTCCGCCTGCGGCAGACGATATCAAAATAGCAGATGTAACTAAAGAGTGAATGAATGACCACAGGCACCGAGATTTGGATACACCCCTGTTTCTGCGCTGGTACGCACGGCACAAAAACTCGATGCCTCAAGTCAGTAAATCGGCAACAATGAGAGCAAAAATTCTACATATTCAGGTTCAATAGATTTTCCCGAGCTGGTATTCGGGACGAGAGATGCAGATGGGTGTTACCGAGGCCGGTCACGCATTAATGCGGTCGTGGAGCAACAAGTGTTCCTGGTGACTGCCGCATTTGGACGATTACATAAGCCTTTCGATCTTCCAAGCTCACCGACTCGTAACAACATCCATCGCCCGTGGTGTTCGTCTCTCGCCAGTATGGAATAATTGTCCAAGGTAGTACTAGGATTAGACGTCAGACATGCGTGCAAGATTGACCCGAGATTTTCCCATGACCAATTGAGGCTCAAATTCCCTCATCCACAGGCACGGATCAATTCTAATTGACACTGTCGTGATTCTCCGCCGCAGAGCGCGTTGGACGATGGTTCTATCGCGAGGAAATTTACGTAAGTTGTGAGTCGTCTCAGTTTTGGGGGCAGCCCCGTGGCTGGGTCGCGAGGCAGGGTATACACTTACAGGGCTTCGGGCCATGATTATTCGCGACCTGGTTCCATGCCGCCGACGGGCCAAAACTCATCCTAAGTTCCTCTATATTGCGTGTACGTCCGGGGTGTATCGGATCCAACCATTTTCTCCTCCGACCTGTGTCGGTCACACGTAAGGCATGGCAAGCACGGTTCACCGGAGACTGGTGACCTCCGCAGGACAGCATATCACACGCCACGGCGCCACCTTCCCAGAGGAATGGAGGACTGCGTAGGAGAAAAGCTTCGGCCTTAATTGCAAAGTTATAGCTGATAAGCGACGCGCAAGGTAAATGCGGAGAGTGAGTCCCTTAGCTCTTTCTTTGATGTTCCCCTCGTCCCGTGGAACACCCACATGGTATGCATCGCACGCTTGAGTGACAAAGATAAATGCGGAGAGTGCGGCGGTCATCGGCCAGCTACCCACTTTGCTTCCCGTGCACTACAGCACCTTCCATATACGGCGAGGGGAGTATGAAGCGCCCAGAGCTGGAGCCACCACCAGTACTGGTGCAGCGTCCACGATCCTACAGATCAGACCGCAGCCTTCACAGGGTCGTGGTTGATACCTGCATGATAACAAGCCCCAGCGACACACCAACCCCGGCAAAGGAGGGGCCGGACAACGGTCCATGGCGAAACTCTCCCGAAGGTCATGGTCTCAGAGCGTTCCGGAGCCTGAGCTGGAAGAACGTCGCCAAGGGGCGGAGAGAGCCGTGAGAGCTGGTGAAGACCACGGCGAGTGGAGCTCCAGACCGCCGGTGGTCCCAGCATGTCGGTGGATCAGGAGCAGCGTCGCCGGCTAGGAGGAAAACCCTCACGAATCGAGGTTTAACGATGTCACGGGAGCATTGCAAGAAACTGGAGGATCATCGTCCACGGTCGCAGCCTGTCCGGCCCTAGGATCCGTACATGCACGACTCTGAGCCCTGGGGTGCCTGGAGCGTTCCGCTAAAGATAGCGGGAATAGGCGGTATGTGGCCAGGGTTCCCTGGGTGTCCATGG